CCCCGTGCGTGTGGGCCCGCGAGGTGGGTGGGCCGCAGGCTGCTGCCTAGCGGGGGCTGGGGGAGGCCTGGGTGGGAGCTGGCCCCCGGGGCCGGCGCGAGGCCGCTGCGCCGTCCCCCGCCCCCCCGGGGGCGTCATTGACCGGATGGGATGTGGCCCTGGTTTCGGGGGAGTTAAAGCACTGAGAAGTGATTAAAAATGAAACTGAACTTTGTTCGACTGGGAGGTGGAGAAACGGCTGGTAACGTGTGCAGAGAGATAATCTAGTTACAGATTAGCCCCGGTTCCTCCTCGCATCCTGCTTTGCTCAGCGTGACTATATGCAAATAATCCCGAGCATCCAAAGATTAGTTCGCTCAGGAGTCTAAACTCCTCACACCCCTGGCTTGGGTGGAAGGGGGTTTCTGGGGGAGAAATTCTCCCGGGCAATGTGCTTGGCCTACGGCTATTTTAATGTATTTTGCCCATGTCTGATGAGTGCTGGAATAGCTATAGAAACTTGAACCCCAGTGCCGGGGCTTGGATGAGCAGGTGTCCTTGCTGCAGAGTGTCCTGGCAATGGACTGGAAGTGAGAACCAACCATTTTGACCTGGTTTTGTGTAACTCAGAAACTAGCTGTTTTGGGGCTAGCCTGAGCCGTTGGGGTGGTGGGGCTGAGCTCCTGGCCTTGGGGCTCGCGCTGGGACTGCTTTTGGCACACCGCACCACGTCTGATCCCAGATCAGGATGGTGCTGGGCACAGAAGGGTGGTGTCTGCATTTCTTCCCGAGACAGTGTGTGGTGAAACGCCTTCCTTCTTGCAGGAGGATGTTCCAGTTTTTTGTGTGGTGTGCTTTTTTTTTTTAATGCAAAGGGCTTCAGTTTCTTCCTTGTGCTGATGTGAAAGCCTGTGGGTTTGGTCACCCTGGTGAAATTCATTGAATGAGCCATGCTTGGGAGGAATGTACAGACCAACGCGAGCTGGCGTTGGTATCTGAGGCTTCTGTAGGGATGGTTACCTTCGTGTGTGCAGAAAAGGAACTGGCTTCAGGAAGGCTTCCTGTTAGTTTGAGCAACAACAAGCAAAGCCTTTCAGTTTCGCAAAGGCTTGTCTTGTTTGCTTATTCATGAGGGGGCACTGCAGGCCGAACTGGGGAGTTCTGTTGTTCCAGTCACTAAAACCACATTAATAAAATGGCGACACATCTGCCTGGCCATAGGTGACCGTCCTTTGTTTCGGCTTGAGGGGCAGGGCTCGTGCCAGGCTGCAAACCGACTTCTGTGCTGTGGTTTTTACGTGGTGGGGCTTTAAAGCCCTTGTGAGATAGGGGAGTGTGACGTGCACAGAGACGGCAGCTGTGCCCAAGGTGGGGAGGAAGGAACTAGAAATAGGTTATGGGCTGTTTTTTGTCCGGCTCAGGCAAGTGTGAGCAGCAGAGCCCTCTGCAGAAGCAGGCAGGTACTTGCTCTCCATCACTGACTCTTACAGCTTTTGGACCTAGCGTGTGGGGGCTGCATCTTCTCACTGGTGGCCTTGCGGGGTATTTGGTGTCGTGTGCTTGCCTGCCTCTAAACCA